TTGTATTGTCATGGATGTCATCGATTTTCATGATAGTAAAAAAATTAAAAATTATCTATTCTAGAGTGGTTGACAAATGATTTACTTCACCTTCCGTTTAACCACCCCAAAATCGAGCCATGTACGGGTGCGCATAATATTATATATGAGCGATATATTATAAGTCCAAGCCTCTCCGTTTCGACTAGTTACGAATTATATTATAGTATTTACCTATTCGCAAACAGCTCGGTGTTATATGCCTGCGGATAATGTTATTTGTTCTGCATCGTGATATGGAAATAGCCGAATACACACTGAAATAAACGTGCAACCATGTAGACGTCTCTGCGGCAAACCCCGAGCCGTAAGTTTGAGCTTCAGCGGTAGATAAACATTAATAGGTACTGTTAAAAATCGTGAGTGGTACTTAGAAGACGCGCCAGGTGTTATTCGCACACTCCACACATAGAGTCGGTATATTATAATAATCCACCGAAACACGTTAAACTACTTTAATACCTACACAATGAAATAATATATTATATAGGTCATCTTAAGTTTCAACAAGATCATTGTGTGCATTACACATTTGTTATAATTTTTTAATTTTTTCCTCTTTTATAAAACACCCGAAAAGGTAGAATGGCTCTTTCTAATTTTTGCGATTTGATGCTATAATATCATCGATAGGTAATGGAATGGTGGAATTTTGAAAAAAATGTAATATATAATGTGTATTGTACGTTTATTTTTTAACTCTAACAATTTGTAGGTAGTGAAGAAACAGGCGAAGTTTCCTTGTTGTATTGTAAGTTTCAAGTTCATCTCTTAATGCATGTAGGAAGTCACTTTAATACATATTGTAATGGATGATTTTAGTTTGAATTTATAATTAAATCATTAAATTCTAAAAACAATTGTTTCTTATGATGTTTTATAATTTATTTATATTACTGTAGGTAATGTAAATAAATTATGTCTGTAGGTTGAATAAATCTTTGTCGAAAACCATGTAATTGTTAATAACATTTGTGGGTGCTTAGTAAAATAAGTGAACCTTATATTAAATGTTCAGGTTTCAAAAATAGCAATCACCTATAATAGCTTTAAATCTATTAATCTGAATATATTTTAAATATGCACTGCTTGTGGGCGATATACATATATTATATATGGACATATGGTAATATTTCAATATTTTCAGTGGAGTATTGTGGTCAAACACTATGCAATTACTTCGGTAAGATATTTAAATTGGCTCAGGTGAAATAAATGTATATATATACCCACTACCCATGTTGAATATATGATAACTGATAACTATTTACCTCTCTTTTGCAGTTTTTAATCTTTCTTCTAACGTTTTGTATTTTATCCTTATTTTTTGGAGCTTGATTACATCTTTTTGAGCTAAAATACCAAGCTCAAAATGTTGCTGCTGGTTTTTTAATTCTTTGATCAAAACAAAATCGTATATGTATACGATATGGTCTGTTTCGATGCTGAATATTCCGGCTTCTTATTTTAATAATATAGGCACTCTAAAAGTTTTATAGGTGTAATTTAAATTTTTAATAACCACGTAAAGTAAAATATAGGTACATACAGTGAGTCATATACCTACTGTACATTATACTTTGTACGTTTTTCTAACGGTTAGTTTCCAGGGCGTAGTCCAATCCAAAGTCTGATGAGTAAGAACCTAGGAAAAGTGGTATTAGGAAAAATATTATTCGGCCAAATTATGGAATTTGTTATCATTCCATATACAGCTGGTTTTTTTTTGTCAGCCAAGTGGGATTCGATGAAATGGGAGAAAATGTATTATAGAAAAATTATTCAAATTAAAAAAAACCTCAAATTTTGTTTACAATACCTACACTTATACACAAAAACAAATTGATCGTGCTTTAATTGGATACTAATTTGGTTAGCTTCATAGTAGCTACCATTCCATATATTATTAAAATAATCATTGAACACTAGTTCAATTCGTTCCTCTAAAAATAGTTATGTCTTTATTAAAAATACAATATATATATTAATTTTAGAGCATGAACTTTTAGTAAGGTACCTACCTATTTTAATTAAGAATCTTATGTTTTAGTAAAAATAAAACATTTAAGTAAGATTGGTATTTTGTTTCTATGTTAGGAAGAACCTAGACAATCTTTTTAGGTAACACAAAAAGTGTGTACAAGTACAATACACTTAGTGCAGTAAGAAATGTTCACTCTGAGGTAGGTATAGGTACCTACTAAAGTAAAAAATAAAAATAACTGTGTAGAGATCACATTCTACATTAATTTATTGAATTATAATAACATAATAATATTGTTTAATATTAGTTAGGTACCTTTTCCTACTAAATAGTTATTTTAATTTGTTTAAATTAAATAATATAATATAATATTTAAATTAATATTATATTATTAAATTAAATTAAATTATTTGATGAATGATAAAAAAAAAAGCGGGCAATTTGAAATGGGCCAATGAGAACGTGGTATACCTAAGGCGCTCTGTGGCGTCCTGGGTTTCCTAATACGCGTCCCGGCCCGCCGACTCGACGCGCGCACACAGCCGGACATTGCCTGACCGTTGAGCACTGTTCCCAACACTGGACCAGGTGCCAACATCAATCGGAAGCAGCCATGTCCCTGACAATTTACTTCAATTATTTTATTGTGTCCTTATAAAAATGATTTAGTAAATGTCAACCAGTAAACTGTAAGAGTGAAGTAATGAATTTATGACAGTTCAATGGTTGTTTTAAAAATATATTTTTGGGCTTTAAATACAGAAATTTGTTTCTTTGATGTGTAACTGAGGTTTAATTTTCGATAACAATTTTGTCAAAGTATTAATCTTCAGATCGTCTCACATAGAGCACACACAGAGCTTTAAGAATGCCACAACAAAGTGGTAGACGTTTAATTCACGATATCATATGGTTTGAGTGTCAAACATTTGATATAACTATATAAGTCTGTCAATTTTCCCAATGTTATGTTGAACACATGATTCTGATCGTCCCGAAAATCCATCATATAAATTACCATTTAACTTTAATGTGTAATAAAAAAAAATAAAACAATTAATAATACATACATTTTGGTCGTACCACAGTATTGAGTTCTCTCCACTCGCGAGTTCGGTAAATGTAATACTGTCCACCTCACTGTTCATTTGAGTCGTCTACGGGTATAAACCTCGTCGACTTTTAGTATAGTATGCTTGTTATTTAAGGTTTAAAATATTTATTTTCACGAAATTATTTAAATATCAACTATTTATTTGTTATTTAACTGTGAATCATTAGTATTTCCTATGTTATATGTCATATTCAAAACCATTAAATTATGCAGCTAATATTTTAATAAATTATATATTTTACCTATTCCATATTATTATAACGACCGACGACGGGTGTTGTTTTGTGGATGTATTTTTTAAAAATGCAACAAAACAAACTAGAGTTGATTATTACATAAATAATATGAGAGCATACACAATGCATGTCAAAAAATTAAATATGGTTTGAACTTTGAAGCGTTTCATGCTATATTTTAAGATGGCTCGGTAGTCGGTTGGAATGCAATGTCATATCTTAAAGTCATATAGTCCAAATCACATGCCATGTACAATATTTTTTTTACAATCATTGTCCTATAATAGTTTATACAAAAAAAATTAGAGTAGAGATGTTAGCAGTATTAGCCTAGTTATTTATTTTCATTCTAGTTCTACCTACAACTATACCTAAAAATTCTAAAAAATATATTCAAATTCACCCTGGAAAAAATGTGTATACGTATTGTACAAATTTTTCTTATGATCAGGCCTGTTCTAATTGTAATCCTGAACACGCCTTTACATATGACCAGTATCTATGAGTAGCAATGTAGACAAATAAAATATTTAATAATACATTTGAAATAGAAATTAATTAGTATTAGCAGTGGCGCAAATAAGATAAATGTTGAGGGAGAATCAAGCCTCAAGAATTTTTTTTTTAAATTACAATATATACTATATTATTATTTGTTAAACGGATTTTGAGTAATTTTTTTTTTTTTTTGGTTTTGAGGGGGGTACGGGTGAGGGTGCGAAGCTACTGCCCCCCCCCCAATTGCGCTACAATGCAAAAATCTAAAACTTTTGGTTGTTTATTTGCCAAGGGTGACTATTTCCAATAACATATATTAATACAACATTTAATATTGAAATAGTAGTTCAACGTGATTCTAATTGGTAAGTGGTCTTAATATTAGTTTCCGTCAAAAAAGTAACTATTTTAGTGATATTGTTTTCGTTGAGTGCTTCTTCCATATTCGGAATTATACATGCTAGGTTGTTTCTAGGTAGTAGGTAGGTACAATCGGAACCGGCTTGGCATTCATCGCAAGTGGTCGGATAATTTTGCTGATGAGGAAAGATTGACTTGCGAATGAGTGTCTGACATTTATTTTATACGGTAGAAACTTAAATATAATATATTTATTGAACCACATTTATATAATAATGTACATTGGTATTATATATTGGGCACTATATCCTGTGATAAACATAATATTATATATATATATTATTTAAAATTAATATACTCCATAAGTGTGTTGCTATTTACGGAATTGTCTATAAAAGTTTTGATTTATTTGGCATACAAAACTGAATTTTTACATAAAATTAATAGAATACAACACAGTACATATACATTGTCAACATTTTTATTAAATTAAAATGTTCAACCAACAAATGTTTAATATTATATACTAAGTAATTCTAATTTCTATGACTATTTTTTCACATAATTTAAAGTCATTAGTTATTACTTATTACAAAACATTAAAACAATTCAATAAACTTTAAACTCACTAAATTGTTATATTAACAAACTAGAATATGTTATTTGTTATGCATATATGAGTTATTTAGATGATGTGTTGTAGTAGAACTAGGTTTAAAGTAATTTATTTATATTCATAGTATAAACTAACTAAATTGTTTAACAAAAATTATTCATCCATATTTTTTATACAATTGATTAGAACCGATAAAATTGAGTAGGAATCACACAATGTCTATAATAAAAAAGAAAAATTATAAATTAGTTTTGACAAAATCTTTGTAAGTATTTATTATTCTTCTAATTTTAAATGGACCCTAAAACTTGATAATAATGATAGCACTAAATATTTATACCATTATTTTAATACTTAATATATTTTTGTCTATAATACAAAAACATAATGTACCTTTTTTTTTTTTTTTTTTTAAAACAGGAACGGGTGGAAACTGTTTAGCACAATACTGCCACCCATACATAATTATGTACCTACATATTTTTGTTTTACAACTTCATAATTTAATTCAAGGTTTCTTGTCAGATTTTCTTATAACAATATTCAAAAATCAAAAATATACCATCGCAATTTTTTTTTTTAGTATTAAAGTTTAAAAATTTCCGAAAAGAATTTTAAGTATTTGTTGTATTTATAAAATGTTAATCGTAGAAACTTGAAGCATACCTCCAATAAAATATGATAAAACAACATTATGCTACACAATTCCATTTTCAAAGCGTTTATAGGCACGTTATATACTTATATATAAATTGTAAAGGTATTAAATATTTTAAACACTTTAATTATTAAAGTATTTATAGGTACAAAACATAAGTTATATATACAGACTCCGCTTAAAGTATTTAGACGAGCTAGGGCGGCATTTTAAAAAAAGTGATATAATGAATAATATTATTTTAAGGGTGGCAAAACATTATCTTGCCGAGTTCACTATTTTCACTCGAGACGGCTTTCCATACATAATTTTACTAATTAAATTTTTATGTAATGATAGGTAAAAAAAAAGCTTGATACTGCTATACAAAAGTTCTCATAATTCATAAGGTATAAATATTATTAATAGTAAAAATACATTTTATTATTTTAGTAGAAATTATCTGTAACAATAGAATCTGATACAATGTATTGTAACTCCATAATAAGTTACGATTAATGTTGCACAAATCTATATTTGTATACATGCATTTGACTACAAGTATTCCATATGCTAAAAAAAAAAAAAAAAAAAAAAAAAACTACAAGTATTGGTAAAATCGAAATTATATTAGAGTTTACCTTAAAAAACATTTCCAAGTTTACAATTTTCGTTCTAGTAAATTTAAGCTTTTTTTGGTTAGCATTATTCATTTTCATTGTTAACAATACCAATTTTTTACACCTCATATCCATTTCGGTCCAAATACTGCTGTACAATGCGTATACAATTGAATCTTTCTTTGATAAAAAAAAAAAGTATACATTTTAAAAAATATTCATTAATACATTTAAACCTGTAATTATATAATTAGGTAGTTGGATCACCAAATTTTTTCTACTGTACTACCTACGGATAGATACAGATAATATATTTTATAAAGTAAAAATTATAATACATCATATTTCTACTGATTAAATATCAAATGGTTACTTAATATTATTAATAAAAAGCTATATTTTTGGGGTTTTTGATTCATAAAAAACATTGAAGACTACATTTAAAATATTAACTCTATTAGTTTGAAAATTATTGTTGTATTTAAAACTACAACAAATCATGGGACGTATAATGAACATGCCTGATCAACAAAAAATATAATAAAGTACTATAAAACTATAAAAGTAATAGATTTCAAATTACTTGTTCAACAATGTTCCCAAAAAAATAGCTCATTGCAAATAATTTAAATAAGTTCGGAATAACCATACAAAATATGGTTATTGTAAATATTCTCGAACTTTTAAATCTATCATCGTTTGAAAAACTCTGAAATCAATTTAAACAATATAAGTTATCAATTCATGTATTAGTTCATAAATCCTAAGCACACAAGAACTTCTTTAAATTGAATATCAAATTTATTTTTACCATTACAAAACAAATACATAGTATGATGAACGTCATTAAAAGAACAACAATTTGTAAAAGCACAACTCGTTTAAATAGGGTTAAAAATGTATCATATTTCCTGAAAATAAAAAAAAAGGTAGTGTAGTTCAGTCATTTGGTGTCTAAGGTTTAACATTTAGAAACTGGGGTATCCCTCTCCATAAAAATGATGTAGCATATAAAGGGAAAAACTCAGATATATTATATGCATTACCCAATCACCAGATTCGATTTTTTTCCAATCAATTATTTTGTCATTAGAATAAATTTTTGTAGGTAAAAGGTTAATGGTAAATTCAAAATACAGTAGAGCCGGGGGGTCGGAAGTAATGTTTGATGCCATTCACCACATGAATATACCATTGTTCAAATAACTTAACTATTAGTGTGGATTATACAAAATATGTGCACCCCTCGTTCTACTATAGTAAATATATTTAAGTTAAATATAAGTAGTTGAATGCTTACTTCATAACCGCTTGATGATCCATTATAATTGTTTTTATTTCATCATATATTAATTCGTGTTCGTTAGGTAACTGTTTTTTTTCATCTCTGCAATCTAAAAGTAAATAGAGCATTATTGCGTCCTTATATAAAAATGATTTAGTAAATGTCAACCAGTAAACTGTAAGAGTGAAGTAATGAATTTATGACAGTTCAACCGTTGTTTTTTAAACATATTATTGGGCTTTAAATACTCTCGACTTAAAAAATTAATTTAAGTTGTGGTTAACAATTTAAAAAATAAATAAATCAACGAAATAAACCATTTACGCATACCTCAATAGTCGTACTTACCGACCAAAGAGAGATCGTCGCCTGCAAGTGATTTATGCCCAACTGATTCGCACGCGGTGCAAACTATTTGCATCTGACATAGTACTGCTAAACAAAGTGTCACCAGAAGAATATCAAATAATAAAAATAGTATTAAAAATGAGATTACACACAAAGCCTCGAAAATGTAAAATATATTGTAGTGTGCATTGTACGTGTCGTCGGATACAAATAAATACAATTTGAATAAGTTATAGCGGTAATTGCTGACTGAACCGTCATGATTTTTGACCGGTATTATAACGTTCGACAATACCAAGGAACTAGGATAGTTCATCATCATTGACGTGCTATACATTACTGTCAATATAGTCGTAAACAACACAGATCGTTCTCTCCAACGATCCAGTATAATTTGTTTATCTCGGAAACTATGCGATGTAAAACCGTAGCACGTGATCGATAAACACTTCCATATGTCGTCCGAGTAGTAGATAAAGGTGCACATTGAGTAGCACAAGTACATCGACAGTAAGCCTTTCCAAAAATATTCTATGCTTAAATTCAGATTTTCCGTCCAATAGTACACACCACTAACGTTCAATATCATTGCAATTACACACAAATAGAACGTTAAGAATGCCACAACAAAGTGGTAGACGTTTAATCCACGATATCGTATGGTTTGAGGATCCAACATTTGGTATATTCCTGTACATTTTGCCAATGTTATGTTGAACACATGATTCTGATCGTCCCGAATATCCATAATAAAATCTTTTTTATTCTAGAATATCTAATAAAAACAATGAAATTATTAATGATAATATATGATTTTTGGTCGTGTCACTTTATCGAGTTCTCTTCACTTAGAAGTTCTACGAGTTTGGTGAATGTAATACTGTTACTTATAGCTGTTTATTTGAGTTGTCCGTGACCGTAGAGCTACGAGTGCAGTGGCGAAACTTGCGGGTAAGTTGGAGAAATAATTTGAGAGACAGCATTAATAATGCAAGTGGCTGCTCGAATGACACAGAATAAAAATTGGTTTTTATTTTTTTCTCTTCACATTTTATAATTATTACTTATAATGGCTATAATGAATTATAAATATCTAAGTTTAACCATTGGCTATATAATTACTATGGAATGCTCATCGTTCGTGTCTTATAGTAATAATCGGGATATTTTTTTGTAATTTTTTGTATTAATTAAAATTACCAGCTACCATATTAAGGGGCCTCAGTGCCTCACTACGTCTTTTTTTGTCATAAGCTACTGTTTCTAATTCCAACGATACGTATCAACAATTATCACGATTTTCATTCTGAAAAAATATTCGAACTGTCCGTAATATATACAAGGGAACGATAGAGCCACACTTTTAATTTTTGTTATTTAAAAAGCAATAAAAATTGTAAAAAAATCAAAAAAATTCAGAATTTCCAACTTAAATATTTAATTAACTAAATACAATTTTAAAAATTTGCTCTGCTGTACAGTAGGTTACAAGTGGGTACAATGGTATAATGGATGGTATTAAATTTGAATTCAATGATATAATATCATTGCATAAGAAAAACGATTCTGAGCGAAAACGGTTATAGTCAGCCTATGATATTACGAAGTATATTTGATCATACTAAGGTGAATAAAGTAATTTATATATAACCTATTTAAGTGGAAACTTGCTTTAAATTTTCAATCATTAGCTATAAAAGTTGCATTTTATAAATTTTTAACTACAAAATTGTTATTAAATTTTAAATGTGATAAATTTTGTCAAAATTTGAACTTTAAATGCTTATAAAAAAAAATTGTGTCTATGTATTTTTAATATTTTTCAAGTGCTATTGTAACAATATATCAGGAGCTTTGAATTAAATTTTCAATCTTTTTCCAACAAATATTTTATTGATATTTATAGAAAAAAAAACTAAAAAAATTGAAAACTTAAAATGTCCGTAAACAGCTCAAAAAGAGTCAAAATATTTTCAAAATTATATGCTGTATATTAAGTACTAATATAAACATTCGGTGAAATTTCCAAGTATGTACAGTCATTCGTTTTTTGATTACAACAAAATAAGGAAATCTATACATGAGAAATCGAGTGAATATCAAATGTAAAAATATGAATTTCAAACGATCATAAACATTTAATTTGACTTTCTTATGGACATTTTTTTGTTAATTAATTTTCGTTTGCTAGTTTCAATAGGGTATTGTCAGTTTTGATATTAGAGTCAATCGACCTATTATAAAACTTTTAGGTAACAAAATTATCTGTGTTCTCTCGTTGATTTTTTACGATATTTTAATTTTTAAGTGAGTTTTGAACATTTTAGAATATGAATACTTTACATACCCATAACTCACTTATAGATTAAAATATCGTAAAAAACCAACGAGAGAACACAGATACTGTTCTTACCTAAAAGTTTGATAATAGGTCAATTCACTCTAATATAAAAACTAACAATACCCATAGATATATACAACAACTAGATAGCCGTCTCCTTCTTGTCATTGAAGTCGGCCGCCATTTACAAAGCAGGCAATGTTTACAAAATAATATTATCATAGTATATATGTATAGTCGATTTCAATATTGGTCACAACTGTAGTACAAAAGTTTTTATAAATTCGATTCGATAAATTTTTCCATTTCAATGTTGTATAAAATATACCAACATATATTTTATAAGATAATAAAATTCAAATTTATAAAAACGGTATCATTTAAATTTTTGCCTAGTATGTAATTTTATAAAAACTATTAATGTAGTTATTTTTGCTTTTTATTTATATTAGTTAGACCAAACTTGTGTGTAATCCGAAAAAAACTGGGGGACACAATTCGTGTAACCCGAAAAAAACTTAAGGACACAATTCGTGTAACCCGAACAAAACTGAGGGACACAATTCGTGTAACCCAAAAAAAACATAGGGACGCAATTCAGGATTTGGGACAAAACTCGTTTACAGCCAATGACGGCTATCTAATTGTTGTATATATCTATGACAATACCCTATTGAAACCAGCCAACGAATATTTGCTATGCCATAGCGATATGAGTGTAAGACAGACAACACATACGGGTGCGACGTTCTCTTAAATATTAAAATTGTAGGTGAATCAAATCCCAATTGGTACTTAAATCTAGGATTTTTTCGAGGGGGGATATACATTTTTTAATAGACATTCAGTATAATGGGACATGGGAGAATGGCGGCCACCTAAGCGGGAGCTTACGTATCTTCAGTAATAAAAATCCAAATATTTTACTGCTCCTTACATTAGTAAGTATAAAGTTGTTAGCTTCTACATATTATATAAGTTTCAAATTTTTAAAGTTCAGTGCAAGATTTGTTTATTTATTTTAAACTCAAATGACCGGCATTACCCATACAGTTATTACTTTTATATTTACTCGCTAACAATTATACTCGTACCGTCAATCTGTTTATAACCGCTATTCTTAGAAATTTGATAGAAATTATGTTTTTATGAACAAGTGGTGATGTAGTAAGTAGGTAGTTTTAATGTATATAATTATATAGTAAAATAATATAACATTTTTTGTGTGAAAAAATTAAGAACACAATTTTATTTATGTATATTATATTCATTTTTAAATAAACACGAAGGACATGGTCTTGATGTCTTTTTTGTTGGGGGGAGGGTTTATGCCCCCCCCTGGATCAGAGCCTGGATAGTAACAGTTTAGGTTCGGTTAAAAATGCTAACTTTTTTAATTTTTACTAGGTATGCGGGTCAAATGGACAAGGGCAGAACATTATTATTTATTTCCGTGCGTGATATCCTCAACAAAAAAAATGTGTGTGCGGTGCAGTCCCTACTTCCTATGCGCGATGACGTGATGCACATTTCATAGAACTTAAAATATTTATGCGTTTAAAACGACTAATATTCTAGTAATTATATAAGCCGATAAATTCAGACGTAGACAAATAATATTATAAATGCATTGTTAAAAAAACTGAGTTCGATAATATTATATTAATATATTATAGTGTTCGTGTCACACGATCAGTACACTTGAACCCTTTTTCTATTAGACCATATATTCTTTATGTACCTAATTAAATTTAACCTAGTTGTTGTCAATGCTTAAACAGTACCTACTTATGCTATTAAAATAGTACCTAGTCTTTAAGTAGATTTAATTAAAATTAAAGATTTAAGTAAATTTAATCACGGCAAAGGTAAAGCACTATATAGGTATACATATGCAACAATCAGATTATTCTACGAAAACAATTTCATGAAATAACAATGTTTACGAGTCATGCAAGGAGATTATAATAATATGTATATAAGATGTAACCAAAAGTTTATGTTATGTAAGGACCGTGGTATAGATCTCATTGTCTGGTTGTGCATGGAATACAGCACTTTTGAACATTTCCACTTTTTCGCCCGGCACTAGGGGGTTCCCGCTTTACGGCCCGCTAGACGGAAAACGTTCGGTTTCCAACGCTTCAACCGTGGTCGAAAACGAAAGTACGAAACTTTCGGTGCACACTGAACGAAAAAATACTATACAAACATAGGCGCAACTAGAGGCCAAACACTGGGGGTGCTAAAATTATGTAGAGAACACAAACCCGCGGGGGCTACGCCCCCACACCCCAAAATAACATCCTTTGATTTTATAATTACTATTTACTATAACCATTCCTAAATGCACCATGGACACATAAGGACACTAATATTTAAGTAAACCAACAGTAATATACCTGATGAATACATGAGGTATATAGTATATTATATTATTTAGGTGATAAAAATAGTAACCTGGATGCATAAATGGATAAAAAAAAATGTGTTCAAGTGGGTACCGCTTTTCTGTACAATAGTTGTTGAGAATGTCGTTGTAGTGGATATGTTATATTTGAATTCAATTTGAAAAATTTTCTCATAAATAGCTATAAATAGTTCATAAAAAGTCAAAAGTGTTTAAAGAGTTTTCGATGTATGGAAAATGCTAATATAAATATTTGGTGAACATTTCAAGAGTCTACGGTTATTCATTTTGGAAATACAACAAAATCCAAAAAATCGATTAATGAGAATTCGATTTGCCGCTGAATATCGAATATCGTGACAATTATAAGTTCGAACACTCATAAAAAATTCAAGTTTAAGTATACGTTTTTTTTATAGGTAGACAAACTTATGTGAAATCTTTTATTAACATTTTTAATCTTGGGCCTTAACTGTGAAAAGAAAATATTTTATGAATTGCCAACTGAAAAATAATTAAAAATATTTGAAAAATTTCTCAGTTATAAATACCTCAAAAAGAGTCAAAATTGTTTAAACATTTTACCATGTAAGGAAAATTTTAATTTTAACATTTGATAAAAATGTCAAGTATCTAGGACAACAAAATATCAAAAATTGATAGATGAAATTTCGTTAATTTACTGATAAAAATTAAAAGTTCAATGTTGTACACATTTTAGATTCAAACGCTCATAAAAAATGTATGTTACTTTCCAGTAAACTTTTTAGATTCTGAGTGAAACGATGAATGTATTGATTTTACAATGATGTGTGTTTTTTTTTTTTTATTTTTTTTTATTTTTTTTTGTGTCTGTGTACACGATAAGTAGTCGAAATAATGCTTCGATTTTCAACTTCAGTATCTTGTTCGATTGGAAAGTGAATATCGTTGGTGCTTGGGGGGGTCAAAATCTAAATTTCACAGTAGTTTTCAAAAGCGCCAAGAAAAACAAAAT